TATTTCACTATTACCACCATATTTCATATAATTTTTCTCCTTATGTATTATGTACTCTTAAACAATATATTAATATGTTTTATGAATTCACTGTCCTTATCAGTTTTTGTTTCTGCTATCAGTGAATATGCAAGGGCTAGAGACTAGATTAGTTCTACTAGAACTACCTCTCTTGTCCTCGCCAGATAGTTATGTATATCTCTATCTTCGTTTTGTACTTCTTAATGTAATTTATCTGGTGAAATAAAATTGTATTGTATTGTATTGTATTGTATTGTATACCTCATAAACACGATTTTCATCCTTGCTTACTAAAAGTAAAAGTCGCAATCACTGTAGCTATCGTCGCAATCAATAGTCTCTCGCCTCTTGTTGATTATTAATTTTGGTTCCTGGTACCTCTAATAAATAATCTACATTGTATATTACCATAAATTGCCATAAATTGCGTTTTTAGATTCCCTCAACTTTGTTTCAAAGACTGCAGTCGCACAGGGATAACCAGAACATTGAAAACTTCGTCGTGAAATTCACGTGCAGAACGGATTCTCTCAATTTTTTTCACCTATGATCTTTGTCACCTATATTCACACACAAGAGTGAATTGCAGCACTAATATTTGTTCCTGGGAATCTGTAAATCAAATAATACAAAAAACAGGTGTCACTGTCCAATTTACAAACTGCATTTATTTTCGTTATAACTTTGCATTTACAAAACATTTATTTATCTCCTCTAAGAAAGTTTCCCATTTTCTGCCCATTTTTCGGATGTTTAAAAAAAATACATTGTAGGTAAAAAAATACTACAGATTTCACGAGCATGAGTTTTATGTGGGCCCGAAAACTAGCAAAGACGGGACTTACTCGTAACTATTTATTCACGCACCAGAGTGAAATACACCACGAATGTTTGTTCCGCCGGTGTCTGTAATAAACTGAATTCATGTCCATCATTATAATTCATAAAAGTTTGTGTAGTTTTGGGCCTCACTGGTTACTGCATTTCCCGGAATCTTGCCAATATCGATGGGTCACAATCACTGTAGCTATCGCCGAGGTAAATACTAGTAGTCTCTCACCCCCTTGTTATTATCAGTGATTGTTTGTCGCCGGGGTGATTAACATCCCAAATTTTGGTTTCCCGGGCGACTCTAAATAAAAATACATGTAGTCTATCTAACCGCTGGAAATATTGGGCGAAAATCGTTTTTTGGCCCGAAAAGAGCGATAAGACTCGATTTTCAAAGACGATTGGACGACTTCTTTTGTTTTGAGTTGATTGTATGCCTGGAAACATAGCAACGTTGTTATTTTAGTGAATCTAGAACATGATCTGTTCCAATAAAGGATTTTGATATGCCAAACGAACAATTTTAATGGTTTCCTACTGGAACATCTCCTGTATAAATAATCCTCTACTCTCCAAAATTTGACAATCGCAACAGCCCAAACTGGACTATTCAGCACGTCTTTGATTGTATCAGCAATGTTCACGTTGACGTATGTAAAGACACACTCGAACTTGATATTCACTCTCAGACCACTAAGCAAATAGATGGAAATACCTATTACATCACTTATGAAGATTGATGACTCTAATTCTGCCTGGGATAGCTGTATTTAGTGTTCATTTCTATGCAATTGCGATTCTCAATTTCTATGTGTAAAATCATACCGCTGGTGTGGACGGCGACAGATTGTTTTGGTTCTGTGGCTCTTTGACATTTTCTTGGTCGCGTTTCGTATATATCATATATATCAGACACGGTAAACGGTCCGGGACATATTCAACATAGAATGCCGGACGTTTTGACCAGGGCGGACGTTTCGGCCCTGGGCACTCTTCTGTAAAATAAACGATCTTCAGTATTTGAAATTAGTGTTACAAGTAATGTTTCCGACATAAGTGAAGCCATACAGAAATGTCTCCCAATCAGATCAAGCAAACAGTAGTGTTATACGAAAGCAACGTTTTACCACATTTATTGTTATTATACGTAATGGCATGAGAGGACATAAGAATTTCTTTCATTGTGAAATTTACGCTGCAAGCGACTACATACAACTTGTATGAAAGTTTCATCTTGATTACTAAAGTTATGGTCACACATAACTGATCTATATTGGACAAAAATCTTGCCAAACTTCGAAGTTCTCGGCTTCTACACCAGAATTTATAATTTATTTATTTGACCAACAAATGTTGCGGAACAGCGTCGCCACCGCCAATGCATACACTATATTGTAGGCCCCCTACGTTTGTTACGGTTTATGAACGAAAATAGAAAATTGTCAAACGAAAAAAAACAACAGAATAATGCATGTAAAATATATTTCACGAATGAAATATTTATGGTTCAGAAATGAAACATATATTTATCCCAAGCACAACTCGGTGCATCAGAAGTAAACTGAATGACACAACATATAAATGCGTGTACCGAATGAAATATAAATTGTACAAAACAAAATGGCGTCTGAATAATTAAATATGAATTCTTCGAACAGAAATACGTTTGGTGAAATCAAATACGAATTTTAGAAAACGAAATAATATTTTATGAAATGTAAAATAGAATTTACAAACATAAATTGCGTTTTATGTATTGAAATATGGGTTATACAAATGTAAATCGCGTTTTATGAAATGAAATAAGAAACATAAATGGCGTTTTATGGTATAAAATATGGATTTTAAAAAACAAATTTATTTTTAAAAATATTGCAACACTTGGCTTGCCATACTAGAATCTCTTTAATATTACTTAGATTATTTGATATGATTATGAATTTACTATAATTACACACAATGCTAGATAATGCCCCTTGTATGTGTGATCATATATCAAAGTGTACATGATAAGGTGTCACGTGAAAAAACAGGAACCAAGAATCATTTTGTTAAATTTAAAGAAATCTTTCGGAAATCGAAGGTTTTTCAATACATTGCCGTTGCAGTTGAACATGATTTTCGAGGCAGGAATATAAAACATCGAAGTGGGTGAAGGGAGGCGTGAATGGGAGTACAAGTACTGTCAACACAAATATCATTGGATCGGTTGTTGGATCGATAAAAAAAGTACATTTTGGACCAACAATTCAATGGTAACTATTTCTGTAACTCAGGTCAGGGAGTAATGGCAGTATGAGTGACTATCGTCCAGGTTAGCTCCCGGGGAGGTCACTGGCCTTTCAGTTTGGCAGAGGTGTGCAGCCAGTAAGTAAAACCCCAGACCCCATCATAGACCATTTTCACCTCAAAAAACCATACCCCATTATAGGCCAAATAATGATTTTGTACATCCCATCAGAGACCAAATTTTCACTAAATTTATTCAGTTATAGGTTGAATCTACTCATCACCCGGTCTCATCAACGAAAGTACTAAAACTCGAAATTTGGGCAAAACCGCCAGCAACAAAAACCATTATAGCCAAAATATTACACCTCCCGAAAAATTAGGAATTCTGCGAACTTCGAAGAAGGCACAACATGGCACTGATATTTACGTTAAAGTGGCATATTAACAAAGCAACGCTATGCTAGAGTTATAACTACAATAAAATTGAAAAAAAATACCAGGGGTCTCAGGGATTTCAAGAACAGAGGAAAAAATTATACGTTTGGTGAAAAACAAAAATGCAAATATAGTTTTTATTCAGGAAACACATAGTATCACAGAACATATTGGACAAGCCAGATGCGGGTTTAATTTGTCTTCTCTCGAGGCAAATCAAACAGTAGAGATGTTATGACTATACTGCGAAACTGTAATTACATTATTAACTCTTCAGTTAAAAGGGATAGTGGCAGATATATAATACTTAGTATCGCAATGGGTGAAAGGAACTATGCACCAAATGAAGAAAGCCCTCACGTAGAAATTATGCAATTATTTTTGTCAAAAATCTCAGAACTTGCAATAAACTTTAATATCACACGTAATGACCCAATTATTGAATTTGGTGTTTAGCTTATCTGTGTATATCTCCTTTTTTCTATTATGATTACCATATGTTTTGTACCACACAATATAATGGTCGAGTAAATATCAATTTATATTTTTTCAGGAGGAATTATTCACAACAATTATGAATTACACTGACAGACCATGTTGTGACGAAATAGGTGATGTTCAACAGATCCAAATAATAATCAGTACCTCCTTCATGATAGTGGCCGACTGTCTTCTAATTGGCATGGCGTATTGTACCAACCTACGTTACCATAACTACAAGATGTTACTACATTATCCCGGGCATACATTCAAATGGACGATATCGTATTTGCTTTTAATAATATTTGTGTTTAGTGCAGCAGAAGGAATTCTTACTGATATTTCAAGAAATGAAGTTACCAATCCATACTTGTATATTCCACAAATGCTGTCACTGACCAGTGTAATAATTAGTTTGGTGTATTACCATCATATGGAGTACTGGGATCGACCTCATCTTGTCTGGTTGTTGTTACTTTACTGGATCATGGGTATTATTGGAGAAGTATTAGCAATATTTAGAGTGACAGATTCTCTAGGATTCAGTAGCACAATTATACGTTTCGATATTGGTATTATCGTTATTATATTATATACTTGCTGTGCAGCAGCTGAAATCAATATAGTCCGTAAGAAGGTGAGGGACCACTATTACGCAACAATTTCTTTTTGTTTTGTATTTTCCAACATTCGAAAAACTGAACTGAATAAAGATGTTTTTAGTCATAATAATAAGAGTAGAATATGTAATAGAAACACGTCATGACGTAAACACGAATATTAAACAAATTATTATGAATTGGTTTGTGTCGTACAAAGAAATCGTAAACGTTAGTTAATTTTTCGTCTTGGTCTGGATTCAGAAATTGCAGTCACTCGACATCAATTTATTACATCACGTAGATTTATTCACATTTCTGGATATTGATTGGTGGAACGAATGTAATACTCATATAATCACAAAACCATAATGTCTAATTGCATTACAGATATTCAGTAAACCATCGCATAGCAGAACAATACCACGTGATTTTCAGAAAAGAAACTTATATTTTATACAATCATACACAAACAGCATTTCAAGTTTAACTATATGGTGGCTTAGTTGGCTTGTATCATTGGCACGCAGACAAACACTTGAACTACAAAATTTAGGTTGTTTACCCGAGACGTATGAAGGCAAACATATACTACGCATGTTTAAGAAGGCATATAGGCTTGAAAAGGTAAACATACTATTGGACACAAACTTACATGAGTATTTCATTATACAATTCTGTGCTTTAATAATAGCATGTATTGCACAATATATTTTTTATTGAGTAGCTGATATAGTGTGTTTCAAATGCAGTGACAATTTAAAGACACTAAATAGAAAGGAACATATAAATTTTGAAATTTACTCTATACTGAATTTATGTATATTTTCCAATCAAGGATGAGACACAAGTACCCAGTCATTTGTTTCCTTCTCAACATTTTTATGAATATGGCGAATTATATATTTACTTTTCACGCTGATTTTGGAATATTTGTTCTTGTTAATTATTGTCAATCAACTCACGATTGTAGTGTAGTGTATTTGATACGTTAGATGAGAAGCATTTGAAAAAAAACTGGACAATAGAATCTACAAATGCGACGTGAGTTCAAAGAATACGACCATATTGAACGAACTATTTTTGATGCTCCCCTGTTTGACGATAATTAAAGGCCCGATTTATCCCCCAGTTAATTGTTTATTGGAGGTCTGGCTAGCCACTTAGTGCTGTTAATCACTTGCACAGTGTTTACAAGCTAATGACACTAATTCCCTGCCTAATTTGATCACAAATGTAAATACAACATACAAATAAACATATACGAGGGGCGTTCAATAAGTAATGCCCCTGACCCATTTCCAATAGCAGAAGATTCATGAAACTTGGCACAGTTATTAGTCTTTCTCTACATATGAACCACCCAGAGTTATGCATTTCTCCCATTGTTTGATGCAGCTCTGGACACCGTTGTTGTAGAACACCCCAGGTTGGTCCTCCAACCACGTTGTAACTTCAGAAATCAAGGCTGCATCATCTGAGAAACGCTTTCCTTTCAAAAACAACTTCATGGCTGGGAAAAGATAAAAGTCAAAGGGTGCAAGGCCAGGAGAGTAAGGGGGATGGGGGAGGATTTCATAGACACACGACCCTGCTTCTGATCTGGCGACATGCGAGTTGTGAACCGGAGCTTTGTCCTGCAGGAGAAGGATACCTTTGCTGATCTTGCCCTGGCTCTTGATTTAGATAACTTCTCTTAATTTAATCAAAGGTGAAGCGTAATAGGCTCCTGTAATTGCGGTGCCTTTACCAGGAAATCTGTCATCACTACTCCGTTCTGGTCCTAGAAGACTGTGAGCATGACCTTGCCAGCGGAGGGCTGCACCCTTGTCTTCTTTGGAGGTGGTGAGTCCAAGTGCTTCCACTGCATTGACTGGGCTTTGGTCTCATGATCATAGTGATGGACCCAAGTTTCATTTTGTGTAATCAGTCTTTTGAAAAACTTTGACTCATCGTCTTGGCACATCTCCAAATTCTAGCACTAAACTAAACGTTCTTGCTTCTGGAAAAGTGTGAGCAACCTGGGAATCCATCTGGCAGACACCTTATGCATATGCCAATGGTCATGAATGATAGTTTCCACAGTCCCTGTACTAATCATGATCTCTTGGGCTGGCGAGCAGTAAAGCGTCGATCTTCCAAAATGGCAGCCTCAACTTGACGGATAGATGCCTCATCAATGGCAGAAGAGGGACGACCAGGTCAGGAAGCTCTTTCCACAGACTTTCGGCCATGTTTGAATTCACGATACCAGCGTTTGACAAGATCATATGATGGGGCATCATCACCATAAGATTCTTTCATTTCATCAAAAGTCTCCTTTGGTGTGCGTCAAATACAAAAAAACGTATCATTGCGCGACACTCAACTGGCTCCATTTCACACGTGACTCAGTTCAAACACCTGTAAATCAGAAACCACAATTAGTTCTGTTATTTGCAACATAGCCCATAGGAATGTAAATCATTAGACATGCAACATTTCATCTAGGGGGTATTACTTATTGAACGCCCCTCGTATATTTAGCAGTTCGAAGTGTAATTGAAATTCTGAATTCACACCATCAATGAAGTTCCTGAACTATAAGCCACAAACCTGGGTCCCATCCTTTATAATATACACATATGGGTATCAGCATGATGAGCATAAACGTCTTCTTGGAATGAGTGCATTGATTGTATACAAATATTTGTTTACAGGATGAAAGTGGAGATAGTAAACAAGTTCCATCACTATGGGGAATATATTTCCGAGTTCATAAAGTGCCAATAATAATGTCTACGCTATTACGAACTATTTATATGCTGCTTGCCTTTATCATTCCACCTTGTATATCAGGCATAGTAAATTATGCAACGCAATTTTATTATAATGACATAAAGAAATATGTAAGTATTCTCTGTAACCCTGAGGTCGATTAGGAGTTTTATGTTTTTGTTTGTACTGGAGATGTAGTGACGTCCCAGTTGGTGGATTTCCTCGGCTGTTCTCGTGACGATATCTGTCCATACAATAAATACAGTCAATATAGTTTCTTGTCATTTATTTGTTATGTAACAATTTGAAAACACTTTTTATTCATCTACAGGATAGTCATTTTGTTACCGTTAAAGAGTTTTTCTCGAACGGGTTTATTCTTGTGTTAGTGGCGGGTATGTCTCTTGCGCTTAGAACCATAGCATGGTCGAGTTCATATGGTATTTCTGCGGATATTGGTATAAAACTGAGAACATCTATACAGGTAAATTTAACTGATTGAGAATTGTGCACATAATTTCATGGCGGTAATTTGTTGTTTTGACTTTGCAATAAAAATGTTCACCGAGTTTGCTGATTACAGTCATGTATCTACATGCATCTGACGAAGCAGCTTGTAGGTACGACAACTTATGCCATATTTGTTTCAGATAGTTAGTGATAAATACAATTTACCCTTTTTGTTCTAATTAGTCAGTACGTGACAATTTTTTTATATTGAATTAGTTTTTTCGACTTCATAAAAGGTACAATTTTAATCAATGGGAAAACCATTATACATATGGTACTTCATTAATTAGACCCCGTTAAAAGTTAAATCGTCATATGCTGCCGAATTGCACATAACTATCTTTCTTCGGAAATAGAATATGGTTTATGAAAAGACCTTACGATTATCCACGGCTTCCACTAATGATTCATCTGCTGGACAAACGATTAATCACATGTCTATCGACGGTTCTGCAGTGCTATGGTTTTTTCTATTTATTAACTGCATAATTTCCAACCCTATCCAGGTAAGTAAGATCTGCATCCAGATACCAACAAAGTAACCACTGACATAATGCGATTCTTGAACAAAATGACATTTTGAACAGCAAATGATGTGTATTCATTTGACCTTTGAAACTTTATCATGGGTCAAAAACCTTTTATATCGAAATGAGTAAATAGTTACCACGGGCGCCTGTATGGCATGTGTTGCATCGAAACACAACTTACAATGTACATGTTGTTCTAATCATTGAATCGACTTTATTGCACAGCCTGAATTAGCTTGTCTTATTTATTATACATATTCCAGGCAATTGCTGTGTGTATCTGGCTATTCTGTTCAATGGGGATAGCAGGAGTTTTCGGAGTGCTTGTGGTTATACTGGCCCTACCGATCATAATGCGATTAGGTGCCATGCAAAGACAATCTCAGATGATAAGTTTAGTAAGCATAGTCCATCACAGTTACACATCGGTCTTGTCTTTTATCGGCGATTTATATAAAAAGACTGTTTGCCGATGTGGTTTCCAGTAAGTTAGTTAAAGCGAAAGGGTCGTCACCTGCGCACGCGCGGGAATTGAGTCCCAAGCGACGATAACAACACACGCTAAAAATACAAAGGCTCATGGGTAGACGCTTGTTTGTGAACAACGACACGCTATGGCCATCTGACGCATGCGCAGGTGACGACTCCCCTGCTTTAACGTTACATTTATTCAGACCTAAATATACTAGAAGCAAGGGAATATCAGAGCCGATACGGCGACACAATGCACCATCTATTCAGATAGAACCAGATACCAATTCTTCAACCAGTATAATACATGGACACTAGGTCCGTCTCTATAACTCATTTATTTGTTTTTGTGCATTAGTCTTATTCCGATAGTCGCATGAGAAAGACAAATGAGCTGCTACAGGGCATTAAGTTTCTAAAACTGTCTGGATGGGAGGAATTGTTTGCTTCTGGTATTACACGTGTAAGAAATGAAGAGATGAAGCACAAGTTGACAGTGGGATATTATTTTCTCTTATCAAGTAAGTGACTGTTATTTATTTAAATTTAAATATAGGGAATTGTTCAGTATGTATTAAGTATTCAGTAATCAACCGGACTACTTCCCATCAACCTTTCAATTGACAAAAAAACAATTCCAGGGGTTAGAAAAAATACACATTGTATATTGTTGTAATATTGATTCTATAAAATATTACCAGTACTATTATTAGACTAACTGATTTGTCATATATTACTTAGATATTTAGAATTTATGTACTGACAGAACTAACCTATATTACAAATAATGATGTCTAAACACAGGTCATTTATATTCACATCTCTGATTCAAGTACATATATAAAACATTACCTGTATTGTAGTGGTGTTACTGACAAATTTTACAAAGTGTTAAAACCATGCTTACGCATTTTTTGCTTAATTGTTATTTTTAGCTATTATATCACAGTCTTTACCATTCATCGTGCCATTTGTTGTAAGTACCTACATTTTCTTTATTTTCAAAGTTATTCTCAATGCTGATAAGTACGAGAAAGACAGTGTTTGATATTAGCATGGTTTAATTCTTCATAAAGAAAAAACAAATCGATGGGCCAACGATTGTTAAATATAGTGAATAATTCAATATTATTTTATTGGCAGATATTTGCTGTTTACTCACAACTCTACACAGCACCATTAACTCCAGACGTGGTGTTTTCCGTACTTGCTGTCGCCAATTTACTATATCAACCATTATATTTAATACCAACGTCAGCTAAGTACATTGTGGAAGGACTATCTAGTACCAAAAGACTACACCATTTTTTATCTCTGGATGAAATGAGTAAATACACTGATCAGGAATTGTGTAATAATGCGGAAGAAGACGACATTGACGATGCCTTAGTAGTTAGTAGAATATAGTATTGTAATTTATGAATTTATAATTCATTGTCTTCAATTTCTTGAGCTTTAAGAACGAATAGTTGTACGTAGAAATTATTTGTGCACGTTGTTTTTGACGTCGTTCAATTTGAATTGCGTATGCTCACATCTAGTTCTTGTAAGAGCACATTCACTATAGACGCAAGCTGTTCTTTGTATTTGGACAGTGTGTTGAGGCATAACGAGGAGCGCGTCTGCTTATAATGAGGAGGGGCGTGTTTTTCCGGGAGACGAGTTCTAATCTCGTTTTTTCATGTTTAAATGTTCGTATATGTGACTGTAATGTAGATTACTAGGTTGATTATTGCAGAAAATATGTTTCCAATGTTGTGCATGTAAATAATGTGTAAGGGAAATCGTTCCGCACATGACTTGTAATTGCTGATGGAAATGAATGTAAATAATGAGTGTCTATTCACAAATACGATATTATCGTTAGGTATGGCAAATGTTAAATCATTATACAGTTGAATAGATACAATAATGCTTCAGACCCAACTCTATCCAATGCAAGTATTCTGATTAAAATTATGATTACTCAAGATAATGATCTATATCTTTCAGAATTACGAACTACAAAAACATTCAACAAAAGATACAACTCCATTACTACATAACAAGATAAACAACACACACTTGGTATCGGATTTGAATAAACTGAAACAATTTAGTGAAGTTGTTGAAATTGAAAAAAGGAAAGGAGCATCTGTTGAAGTAAGTACAGCCTTTTGTTTTGCTACCCCTCAAGTTTGAATGATGTTGATGAGCCTTTACACGCAAAATGCAAAGTCTTAATCCACAATAATGAACAAATCATAAAGCTATACGGTCTACCTCTGTGACCGAATTCACACTATCAATATACGATTAACTATGTGACGGATTTTACCACTCATATGAGTTATACGATATATACGATATAATTACATGCACGCACATGTAAATAATAATAATACTCTGAATAATATCAGATTTGATACTAAATAAAGATATCAGTTTTGATACTAAAAATAGCCAAACGCACACATACACTGAAAATGAATTTATGTTGCCAACTTTGACGCCAAATCTTACAAATTTAGAAGCTTTAATTATAATTAATAGCAATAATTATTAATCAATATTGCTTCACTGATTTCTACAAATGTTTTACAGAAAACGTGTCTTTGTGGCCAAGGGAATTAAAAAAAAGGCCTAAGCGAGTCTATATTTAGATATTCCCTGTTCATAACATAGTATTACATGAGCCGTAGTTTGTTAGTGTGGTACATATAAACTCAATAACTCTTCCAATGTTGTTGTTATTCGTAACCTATAGATTTGTGTCCCATTTAGTCGTTAAGCATTTTATTCAATCTCCGCTACATATACCACACTGTCATTGTCATATTACTGTCAGTTTGTGGTTTATTTAGTAGATTTATGGATTTATTGGTAGTTTGGAGAGGCTCTCAGCACAATTAAAAATCATTATTGAATTTTGTAATTCATTATATGTTATAGTAAACTATCACTTGTTACATTGCATTATGTTTTACTCATATAGTGAAATGAAAAATGGTCTTGGAACCAGCATACCAGCAGCTAATTACATTAATGTCCACAATGTTATTTTGTTCCATGAATATTATGTATTTGATAATATTATTTCAGGCCGGAATAATAACACACTAACCCTGGTGAATTACGAATATGTGCACAGTTTGATTTGATTTGCCATATATACGTAATGTAAAGTTAATTATTTCTGATTAATTTAGATTAATAATGGTTACTTCCGTTGGGAAAGTGACTCAGCTGATACAGTATTGAAGGACATCAGTGTTAGATTTCATGCAGGTAATAATTTGTCTTATATGAACCATGGACCCAATGTGACAATATATTATGTTTCGTCTTAAATCAATTTTTAATTTAATTATTTAGATAATATTCATTATTAAACACATTAAACATGTGTATTCATTTTCATGAGCTTCAATCCATTGATGAGGAGCACATTAAAATAACTACACTAATTTAATAAATACGATATTAAACTGTCAAGAATTTGGATTTCCTAATTATCACCATCACCATCAATTATGTACCATCTCTGAACATTAGACTCGTGATTTGTGTGCCGCGACATACGCGTCTTGGTGCATTTTGTTTATTTGCAACATTACTGCAACACTGTTCCTTGAACGTACGTAGCGGCCAGTTTATCGGCCTCGATTAAACAAGCAGTAATAATGTTTTAGTGGAGAAACAATCCCATGCTTCACCCCATTATGTTTGGGAGATTTAAAAACAAAATTCTCGAATTGAATTTTAAACGAAAACAAATATTGGTGAATTAGCGAAACTATCGGCATATATCGATAATATATGATTGATCATATTTCAAACATTTTTCACAAAAATGATTTGCCTGGTCATGAAACAAGCTCAGTTAGTCATGTTAGTAGTTCACTAGTTGGAGATATATATAGAAACTGCTTCATTGGTTATTTATAGAAGACAGTATTACCACATAATGTCTGAATAGTAAATGTTGGAAATAATATAATCACATTTGTTTAATCTTTCACAGGAACACTAACAATGATAGTTGGTAAAGTTGGTTCTGGTAAATCATCTCTTCTTTTTGCAATTCTTGGGGAAATGAATACAATCTCAGGAACCGTGAACTATTATGGGTATGTAATGTATATGGAAATGCTGACTTTATTGCAGCGTCGATGAGCATGAGTCAGAAGGCAAGGATGGAAATGCTTTTAACACTTTTGAATAAATACAGACATTTTTTAATATGAACATTTTTTGATATTCTGTAACGTGCTATATTGTTTCATAATTTTCTCTTTAAAGAAAGAAACACAAAGTAGCTTATGTTGCCCAAAAGACATGGCTTCAATATGCTACACTTCGAGACAATATTATATTTGGGGAAGAATTCAATAAGGAAAGGTAAACATTAATGTTATCTAATTATCCATCGGTATCTGCGTATACAATATGATATACTCAATTTGATGTTATTCAATATAATTGAATAAGACTATTGACTTAGTATCATTACTATCTAGACGATTTATATAAATGAAGGAGTTGGGGACTGGTAAGGTCTTGTGTGTATATTTGTACCGTTAAAAGAGATACCACATACTGGCAAGTAAATAGAGAATCGTTTGTTGCTTACAATGAATTAATACCGTTCGACGATGACACTGCATTAATTAATATATGTATTTCACTTGAAGGTATACCACTGTTCTAGAGGTGTGCGCACTGAACTCTGACTTGCGTATGCTGCCTGATGGTGACTTGACAGAAATAGGCGAAAACGGGATAATTTTGAGTGGAGGGCAGAAACAGCGGGTTGCTTTAGCGAGGGCTCTGTATAGCAAAACAGAAATAGTAATTATGGTATGTATGCCAAACTTTTTCAGCTTTTATCTCACAATAACTATTCATTAAATTTTGCCGTTGTTCACTCATTCTATGTATAACTTAGTTATTTTCAACGCATGGTAAAGATCAACATCAACCAGCATTGTTTTTTGTCACAATATTTGCTCTGGCGAGCGTGATAAGAGAATACAATGCGCTTTTATCGACCATTATTCGCGATGCAAGTCTATGTGAGCTTTTTAGAATCGAGGGTCAAGCCGGTTTTTAGACACGAATAAATTTCTAATTGCAAGATGAACTAACGTACATAAAACAAATGTAACACAATATCTCACCTCAAAATGATACTCTTTGTTTTATGGTAAATAACACGTATAGGAATGAGATAATTAGAATTCCTAAACTTTGTTAAAAGTGTTTGAGTTCAATTATAATTGATTTGCTTTTACTCAGCTGTATTGATGCTATAGTCAACTACTATACACATGCACTTTCATCTTTTCCAAGAATCTACCGGATACTGCTTTCCATGCACACAAATTCATCATTGTTTTGATAAATAAATTATGCATTAACTAATTGACCTTCCCAAATGAGGCCGACAATAATAAATACGAACAACTAAATGCAATGTCAGAAATAATTCTGTATTTCGACGACGTGTGTGTAACATATATTCGAATCAAATAAACATTACTATAGCTTATTGTGACAAACATTTGTCAAAATATACCACAATTAATTTCCAATGCAAAAGTTATCTGAATAACTGTTTAGCATCGCCACGCGAGGCTGGCTGTTTATGATTTTCAGTAGATTGCCAGCGTTTTTTGCCCAGTTTCACATTTTCAATTTTCCCTCGCAAAAGTCATGATCGTCATTGTTTCAACTATCCTTCATAATCATTTTAGGCAACTCTAAAATTACGTCATATGTTGGATTTTAAACCATTTACAATACAAAGTCTTGATCAATTTGGAATTGTCATTCTAAGATATTGACCAGAGATAGATTAAAAAAAATCTCAAATACCACTTAGTATGACAATAAAAATATATTTAAAAAAATGAATATTCAATGTGCACGTCTGTGCGTGCATTTAGATGCCTACGAAATGAGAAAAATCTACTGTGTTTGTCCCACACCACATATAGGCCGTGGAGCTATGTATGGTAATCTGACATCCTTATGTTTTACTCGTGATACTCGTCACATCGAGATTTAGGGCATGAGATATTGCTACGTAATAACCTCAATATCGAAGACCCAGGACAATTTAAAAACAATGCTTTGTACTGTTATCGTTTTGGTTACGCGTGGTAAACAATCCTTTTCAAAAAAATGACCAAAAAATGATGTATTCGTTGAGAGGTTATATTCTGTAATTTATTTATAATTACAAAATTGGGAAATTTCCTGATAAAATACCTGAGAAAACTTGATCAACGAGAAGAACGTAAAAAAGAAAAGCCACAGATATTATTACACACTCACACATTATATTACACAACCTTCATTGAACAAATGGGCGTCAGTGAATGAAACAGCAATAATCGTTTATGTAGTGTCGTTGCCTAATACGGCGAAATTATATATTATACCTTTATTTCAGGACGATCCGTTATCTGCGTTAGATGCCCATGTTGGTGCGCATGTGATGGAGAAAGCAATATTAGGATTTCTTCGCGAACAGCAGCGTACAGTTATACTTGTAACTCACCATATGCAACATTTAGAACATGCAGATCAGGTAAAGAAAGATTGTACATTCGAAGTTTTGACGACATACGTCCGTTATTTGTTTAGTTTGAACTTTATTTATTGAGGTTAGCCTGTTAAACCATAAGGCCTTCGAGAGGGAAAGTTCAAGTCATACCGCATTAATCCGTTACTCAATGTGTACGTATACTACGAACAGAAAGATCACACAGGACCGACTAGACGACATTTTCCCATCTACGATATATATTCACGTGTATTACCCAGTATGTTGATGTGGTATCAAATGAACAGCAACTATTTCATTTTTAGGTTTTAGTCATGGAGAGTGGTCAGATAATACAAAAGGGAAATTTATCCGAAATACGAAAAAACAGCCCCTACTTATATAAACAATGGCAACAATTATTTTCACTGATTTCTGAATCGGAATGTGAAAGTGGAGATGATTCAGTATCCAGGAAATCACGCCGCAAACTACCAAACACCATCCTAATAAATACCACAAGAAACAGCAATGGTAAGTTTCTGGCTGGAACGTTCACCCAAAATCATGTCAATTAAGGTAGAGATGCAGGTTCGTTGGCACTTGGGAGTGATTTTTTTTTGGCTTTTTATTATCCCAACAGTCTTGGCTATAGACTGTTAAAATTTTGTAGAATTGTGAATAATGGAACATACTCAAAAAACGATTTTAAAATATAGATAACAGGTGAAAATATTCTCTCTTTTGAATGCTTAGCAAGATTTAGCAAGGCTGTACATAAATAATATAAAAGAAACATTGTGAAAAAACAGAATGACGGGATCTCCATAATATGCACTATATTTAACTTTTTACAAAAGGATAATACATTTAAATTTGGAATTGTTACACCCATTTTAATTATGAGCATTAGCAACTTCTTACTGAGTGAATTGTTATTCAAATTAGCAATTATTTCAGCTTCCTTTTTGTGCAAATTTTTACAAATGATTGACAATGTGTTTATCTTCAAAACGCCGTCTGGGCATTGTTTTTGGTTGAACAAAGTTACAACAATCGTACAGACAACTAGCCTGGGTGTTAATTTATGCATAAACTAGTCGTGAAATTTGAGCTGCTGCCCTGCAAAATTTACAACTGGTAGACAGTTTGCAAGACGGCATTCCTCATAGTAAACAGATGTACCCATAAACCAATTTTGACAGGAAACAGAAGCATGGTTTAGAAGCTATTTTTTTTGTAGATCACTTTTGACCAAAAAAGCACGTTTTTGTGCATATTTCAAACTACAAAATATTAAAGTTCATACAATAAGCTTTCCGAAAATATATATTTTTTGGACAAGGGAGGTCATCTTGGTTTCCTAATAAACTATCTAAAATACCTGTCAGGTAAACTGCATCTCTACCTGAAACTATGAAGTGTGAAATTCAAAATGTGCGGAGTCGTAGCAAAGCAAAATAATTCATTCATGAAGATTCCTGATTGCTGAATGTTAAATATTGCATATACAACAATGTAACTGCATTGTTGCTGGCGGTGATGGTTTAACTATTAAAACAATGACCTTTGAACGTAAATCTTACAATCATATACAAAAATGAATACAAAAATTTACGTGTTTTTTAGGTTCAATTCTTGCTGTAGAAGGTAGAAAACGTGGGAGCGCAGCATGGCCCATTTTTCTTTCCTATGCTAAGGTTATGAGACTACCACGTGTATGCGTACTTATCATGTGTTTTCTAATGGAAGTAAGCGGATTTGTCATGATCAATTTGTGGTTATCTGCTTGGTCACAGGCTACTCAAGAGAGTCTTGATAACACTATGGTAGGTACTGTTACCAATATCAAGAACTCAAATACAACACGAAATGCATTGTATAGAACAACAGCAAACGTATGTTGACTCACGAATGATTGTGATTTTTTGTTATCTCAGTGTTGTTGCAAACAGAATACCTATGTAGATCTATGTAGCCTTGTCAGTAGACCCAGATGGATATTTAAGTAGGAAATATAATTAATACCATCACCATTTCTAGGCAGCAACAATACGAATATGATTATTAGTTGG